AGATGGCTCATGGGGGTGAGGGGTGGGGGGTCCCACTCCCCGCGGTGGACGAAATACAGTAGAAAAGTTCTTACGTCAGAGCTCAGACCCGCATGGTATGGCTGCTGTCGGCGCCCCGTGGGGATTCAGACGATAGGGGGTTGGCTGGTGGAGTCAGGGAAGCAGGGGAGGTGGGAGGGCTTGGGGTGGCACATTGCACTGGAAACAGAAATGAACAGGGAGGTGAATAGGGGTGGGTGGGGGTGGCAGGGGTGGGGAGGCCGGGCACCCAGAGCAAGCGAGGTCCTTCCCCAGGCGGGGAGCCAGGCAGGAGGCAAGCAGAGAGGAGAGCTGAGGCCGACCTGGCCTCGGTCCCAGGCGCCATGGAGGAGCACAGGGTCCCTGAGGAGGAGACCGGGCCGCTGCAGGCTCTGCTGAGAACCAGTGGGTCTGTGGGCGAGGCCGGCCCCTTTGGGCCAAGGCTCCACTCGCATCCGTACAAGAGCAGGTGACCGCACCTTACACGCGGTGCTCCGCAGGCGATGAGGATGAACAGTGCGGTAAAACCGCACTAACCCAGATCATCAGGCCCCCGCTGGCGACTAGATCCAAGTTATCACCACGTGAATCACCTCCATGCAAACCAAGGCTTCCGGCAGGGTTGAAGCGAGTACCGTGAACTTAGACCAGCTCGCGGTCTCAGAAACATGGCCCCCTGCTATCCCTGGGGACCCCCTTTCCATCAGTCCAGAAGGGGCAACCTTCGGTCCACCCCTGAACAAATCATTACAAACCTTAAAGTGGTGGCATTTGAATTAATGGATTTTACTCTATTATCATTATGATTCCATGCTGAGAAGAGCAAAGTGGAAGGCCAATGCGGAGGGGGGTCCTATGAGGAGGGATGAGCTCTCTGCAGTCTGCAGACCCTCGGGCACCCTCAGGGCCGCTGTGAGGCAGGAGCCTGGCAGACAGAACATGCTCACTTGGCCTCAGAGGAGAACCAGACCTCAGCCAGGGTCACACTGTTTCCTCCAACAGAAGGATCCTGGCATCTGACTTCTAGTCCCTTGCTCTCCACCCTGCCCTGGACCCCATCACCTCCCTGCGCTCTGTGCAGCTCCCATCACGTGTATACATACAGCCACAGATATACACAAGATGTGGAAACTTTCTCGTGAGCAGGAAGCTGTATCTACCCACACAGAATACGTAGTCTGTGCACGGGACCCAACAGCATTCGACTCTCACTGCACACAACTCAGATATGTGTGTTTGTGCACTTCCAAACCCGTACTCTTCCATGGGGACTGATACACGTGTGACCTCACACTCAAATACATTTGCAAACGCTTTCAGAACACACATTTGTGTGTATGTCTGTATCGCAGACCCAGCGGTTAGTCATTTGGCAACTTCGACTTCTAAAACTGTCTGAAAGTCAAAAACTAAACCAGAGCTGTTTCAAGAAAGCCAAATATCTATTGCAACGTGCATGCGGTGAAGCTCTTACAATCATTCACAGACCGGCTCCCTGGAGTCCAGTTACTCTTATTTCTACACACTTCTGAGGAGCTGACCTGCTGGGGGTCTACCCCATGGGAGATCAGAAACAGGGAAGTTAGGGGAGAGAGAGGACTTGGGAGGCCCACTGACAGCTAGAAGAAGGCACAACTGGGGCATAAAAGTCCTTTGTAAAAAGCAGATATAATACCTTTGAAAGCATTACGATCTGGGAGCTATGGTCTATACCAACTAGAGCCCTGGAGGGCACCCCTTCAACGGATCAGGAAAAGAAGGATATTTATAATGATACTAAATGAACAAGAACAAGAAAGATGAATTATGTTAAATAGAACTTCTTTATGAAGGCAGAAATATATATTAGGAATATATAATATTCTAAATATATATTAGGAATATATATATATATTATTCTAAATATATATTAGGAATATATCCATTGAGGGGCGCCTGGGTGGCTCAGTCAGTTAAGCGTCTGCCTTCAGCTCAGGTCATGATCCTGGGGTCCTGGGATCGAGCCCCGCATCGGGCTCCCTGCTCAGTGGGGAACCTGCCTCTCCCTCTTCCTTTGCCCCTCCCCCTGTTCATGCTCTCTCTCTCTTCTCTCAAATAAATAAATACAATCCTAAAAAAAAAGAAATAGTTGAAGTTCACATATATAGTAGCTATGTATCGGACAGGTGCGGTATTAAAATCGTGTGTCCGCAAGTACTACCACATCTGCATGCATAAATCATCAGTCACACCTGCTCTCCCATCCTGCACCTTCATGAGACCTGCTCTCACCCACCCTGCACAGATACATATTTACAAATATTGCAGTGTGTACACTGCATCACTCCCCAGACTGCAGAACCAGCCAGTCACACATAAATCCGTGCATTCATCAACACTACCTCCATCCTTACACTGCACACTGGCATACACATATATAAACCCCAACAGCTTCCTAAATACCACCCGTACTCATAAATCGTGGTCTCCACACAATGTCCGTAGACATTTTGCAGACATATACACACATAGTTCTGTATTTGCACTCACACATTCCCTCCACCCACACACTTGAATACACACAAATGCACGTGCCTCTACAAACATCCCCCAACACAGACGCTGCACACGACCTCACGTCTTCCCATATACCTCCTGCTTGAGTCTGCACGCTCTGGGTCTACTGACAAGCATTCCTGAGCACGCCATCCACGCCACACACCCACCCTTGGGCACGGCCTCTCCACCCTGTGCACGCCGTGCTGTCACGAGGGCCCGTGCCCGGCACCCCCATACACACAGTCCCAGGCTTGAACCTATGCCCACGCACGGTCCTCGCGGTCCCTGGCAGAGCTGCAGCTCTGGGAATCTGGACCAGAGGCCAAGGGGCAGTGGGGACCGTGGGCTAAGTCTGAGGTCTGGCCCTGCTATGCCATTTTTTAAATAGTTGGGGTTTTGGCAAAAGCAAAGTGACAGTTTGCTTTCAACACATAGACCATGAAATGTAAGCTGGTGTGTATCGAGAGGGAAATCTGAGAGGCCAGGATGGGTTTTGTTTTCATGGGAACCTTTGGCTGGGAAATGACAGTAGAGAGAGCCAGGGGCTGGGGCGAGGGCAGAGGGAAGTTTTAAAAACAGTGTTGTGTGCGCTAACCCTTGAAACAGGAAGTTGCCTTTTGCCCAGAGCACGAGGAATTTGATCCTTGGAAGATTCGAGTTCATTTTACAGCTAAACTACAGAGAGGTGGGCTAGAGGCCTCTGTGCAGCCAAACTGGTTCTGCTGCCTTTGGCTGCAGGATGGGACTGTCTGAAGCCCATCCCTTCTCTTGTCCTCAACTCCAGCCCAACCGACCGCCTCTCTCTGAAATACCCCCAGCAGTCTTCCCTGGCCGCCCATTTAATGTCCATTCGACCTTAACCGCCAGTAGGTTCTTCCTTAAGGCGTAAATTCCCTTTGTTGTAGCCTGAAACCCTCTGGTTTCTAAAAATACCCATATTTCAAATAGCGAGAAAAACCACACACAGACCCTACTTCCACTCCAGCTGTTGCTAGGTCAGCGAGTCCTACAGCTGTTAGCAGCGCCACCACGCCCACATCGGGCCAGCATTTATTGAGCACTTACTAAGTGCCAGGCACTGTGCTAGGCGCTTAGCATGTATTGTTGCCATTCCTCACATCACCAGGCAGGTATTTTGATTTGAATTTTACGGATGAGGCAATGGAGTCCCCGGAAGCCAGAATTCAAACCCCTCTTGATCACCGACACGAAATGCCACCCCTTCCGCCGGGCTCCTGGCCGTAGTCCCGATCTGCTCGTTGCCGGCTCCTCGCCCAGGCTGCTCTAACTGTGGGCCAGCACACCTGTCTCTCCGCCTCCTCCTCTAGCAAAGTCCGTGCAAACCTGGCATCCTTCCTGGGCATCCCTCTGGACTGGCCTTCAGAGCTCTCCCTCTCCCTCTCTGCCCTAACCACCTTTTGTCCTGAGGAGGACGACGTAGTCCGCCCCCTGGCCGGCTTCATGACCTAGGCACTGTCTTTCCTCTATCCTTCACCCTCCCCTTAAGAGAGTCTCTTCCGTTTCTTCCTGATTCCAGTCTCACCTTCCCTGGGGCGAGATCTCTCAGGCTGACTTCAACCTCACGGTGACTGCTCGGGACCCTCTAGCTTTTTTATCAGCGTGAAGTCCGTTCCTCATGCTCATCTTTTCTTAGCGGAAAAGTGGGTTTGGGTCACCAGGCAGGGTGGTGACTGCCTCGCCCTCAACTCTGGCTACCTGCCCCACCTTCACCTTCCTATCCGCACGCAGCCAGAATGGGAAGTGAGAGGGTGCCCTGCAGTGCCTGGCCCCACTCCACGACTGGTAATACTTTTATCCTTCCCAACCAAGCTCAGGGATCGCCTTTTTGCCGTGCCTTTCCTTAAGCTGCCCAGGGAGGGTGATGCCCTGGCTGCCTGCATGGCCTCTGGCCATTCCTCCATTCCTCCATAGAGCGGCTATAGGAGGGTCATCCCAGCTCTGAGCTCCCGGATGCAACTCGGGCCCGTCTGCACCCTGCTGAGCCTAGCACAGTACCTGGTGCTCAGTAAGTGCTCATCCTGACCTTGAGGAAAGTCTCCCTGGCCCTGTACCTCTCTGTCCCTAGCCCCGTCGCAGCACTGAGCTTCCTCCCCTGCACCTGGTCAGCCAGTCTCCCTGGAGGAGCGAGGCCCGGCCCCTCTCACCAGACAGCATGCGGCCCCTGCGGGAGGCCTCGGTCGCCAGGGCACAGGAGATTTCAATCCGCTTCTCCTGCTCCTGCAGCTGGCTCTCTGAGTCCTGGGGCACGTCCACAAGGTCCCCCTCGCCGATGGGCACCACGTTCTGCATACTGAAGAGGCACAGACACACAGACATGGAGTGGGGGGACAGGATGGTCCAATTGGCTTGGGGGGGGGCCTGTGGACTGAGGTTGGCAGGGTGGCCAGAGGCCTGTGAGTGGGCAGGCTCTGGTTCCCAGCAAGGCTGTCCCCAGGGGGGAGTGGGACCCTGGCAACACACATTTTGGGACCCCCTACTGCAATGTCTTAAAATGAATGAGAAGGTTCAAGGGACCATTTAGGGCAGCCTTGATGAGGAAGAGAAGTCACCAGAGGGCAACCCCTCAGTTTGTCTTGATGACAGCATGCGCCTGCACGCAGCAGGTCTTTTTGGCACACAGTGACAGCATCTTTGCCCTGGCCGCAGGGCTGGGCCTGGTCCGCTGCCTTGAGCCACTGCCTCCGTCTGCCCTCCGCTGGGGAGCCTCAGGGCTCCCACTGGCCTGGGTCGGGGTGCTGGATTCAGGGGCACTGGTGCCCCACGTGCCAGGGTGGGCAGAGGATGTTGAGGTTCACCCAGGCACATTACCTGGACTTGGCAATGAGTGTCTTGATCCTCTCCACCTTCTTCTGCTTCTCCTTCAACTCCTCGGGGCTCAGGGGAGTATCAGGCTCCAGGTCAATGTACCGTTCGGGGATGAGGACTTTGTCTGGTGTGGAGAGCTGGGGAGGGACCTAGGTCACCACCTCCGTTCCCTCCCCTCCCCACGCCCCGCCCCCCGGCTTTCTCCCCCTCTGCCCTCCTGGACTTCACTCACTTCCTTACTGATGTCCACATCATAGTGCTGGGGCTCCAGTTCCATTTTGCGAAGCCGGGCAATTTCTTCCCTCGGCGTCTCGTAGGCCTGCCCACCAGGCTCCTCTGCCCGCAGGGCTGCCTCCAGGTTGGAGATGTCCACCTCGTGGATGCTACGGTGACGGCGCACCTAGGGGACAGCAGCACCGTGACCACACAGGGACTCTGTCCCCTGCCACCCGTGCCTCCAGGCAGCCCTGAGCAGGCGCGTGTCCTCACTGTCCCTGCTCATCACGCCCAATCTGGCCGCCACCCCACCGTTCCCACTGCGGGACAGCTATCCTCCTTCCATGCTGCTTGTCCAAAGCCTGCCCAAAGCCTGCCCGTCCCCCCCCCCAACAAAGGCCCAGAGGACAAATCTCATCAATATGTCTCATCGGGACTCATTACTTCCCATCTGGCTGTACCCTGTGTTCACAGTCTGTGCCATATATGTTAGGCAGTTGGACTAGTGTGTCCTACATTGGTCTTTAGCGGATTCCTATTATAGAAGCTCCAATCCACCAAGGAGAGTGTAAGCTGTTTGAGGGTAGGACTTTTGATCATAATTTTCCTGTATTTCCGAAATGTGGTGGAAAGAAAAATTAGGCAGATGCCTGGGGCTACTCCCAGCTCCATACTCAATAGCCATGTGGTCCAAGAATCCTTAATTTCTCCTGACTGTGTTTCCCTATCTCTAAGACAGGGGTGGTAATTCCTAAGCTGGCACTGCTGAAAGATCTAAACAAAATAATGTGAGATTCGAGAACTGCACAGTGCCACGCACCAGTGTGCTATTACGATTACCTTCGGTAGACCCGGCCCAGGGCTAAATACACAGAAAATGCTCTAGAAACATGTGTAAGTGATGGCTATCCCTGGGTGCTGAATTTTGCACCATTCTCTATCAAATGAATTTTGTATAATTCTTTTCACCTAAAATCATCAATGCATTCCTTTTTGTGAGTTATTTTTCCTTAAACACATGCAAGGAACGCTTGCTGCAGTATATCTTCGGCCTAGTGGGGAGAGACTCCCCGTCCCCGTTCTCCCAGGTGCCCAGCTTGGGTCTTCCCAGCCCCTCTCTCAATGCCCCCCACACAGCTGCCCCAGTCCAGGCTGGTCACGGGCTGGGGGTGGCTGGGAGGACTTTACCACTTTGTAGGCGGGCCGGGGAGCAGGGTCAGGGGCAGGACTGGCCGGGAGCTGCAGGCTCTTCCTCTTCTCTTTCATAGAGCCGCTCTGATGTCTCCGCATGCGGTCAATCTGCTCCTCCACGCTCATCTTGACCTTGCCCTCGCCAGGGAACACAGCACTCTTAGGGCGCTCCTGCTACAGCAGAAGAAGAGGGCTCTGATGGGTGTGCATCCCCCACTTCCAGCTTCCTCATCTGCCCTAATGCCTTCAATGTCCTTTCTCTGGGAAGCCTGTCTGTAGTGGGTTAAAGCAGGGCCCCTAAAACATATGTGCACGTCCTAACCCCGTTGGACCTGTGAATGTGGCCTGATGTGGAAAGAGGGTCTTTGCAGATGTGATTAAGGTAAGGACCTCAAGAAGAGATCATCGGGAATTGGAGTGGACCCTGAATCCAATCTTAGGTGTCTTTATAGGAGACAGAACAGAAGAAGACACAGAGTAGAAGGCGGATGCAGATACTGGAGTGTTGTGTCTATGAGCCAAGGAACACCAGAGATGGCCAGCAACACCGGAAGCTAGGAGAGAGGCATGGGACAGATGCTCCCTCAGAGCCTCCTGAGGAACCAACCCTGCTGACACCTCAATTTTGCACTTCCGGCCTCCACAACTGTGAGAGAATAAACTTCCGGTTGTTTTTAAGCCCCCAAGTTTGGGGGGCTTTGTTAATTTCCCAGCAGCCCCAGGAAATGAGTCTACTGCCTTAGGTCGGCACATTTGACTCTGATCGCTGATTTTTGCTGGATTTGTAGTTCATCGCTGGCACATTATAATAATTTTGTGAAGGGCACCTGGATGGCTCAGGCGGTGAAGCGTCTGCCTTCAGCTTTGGTCATGATCCCAGGGTCCTGGGAGCCTGCATGGGGCTCCCTGCTCAGCAGGAGAGTCTGCTTCTCCCTCTCCCTCTGCACCCCACCCCCCCGCCCATGCTCTCTCTCTCAAATTAAGAAATAAAATCTTAAAAAAAAATAATTTTGCTATTCTTCTTTCTTGCTTTTTTTTTTTTTTTTAAGATTTTTATTTATTTATTTGACAGAGAGAGAGTGAGCGAGAGAGGGAACACAAGCAGGGGGAGTGGCAGAGGGAGAAGCAGGCTTCCTGCTGAGCAGGGCGCCCGATGCGGGGCTCAATCCCAGGACCCTGGGATCATGACCTGAGCCGAAGGCAGACGCTTAACGACTAAGCCACCCAGACGCCCCTCTTCTATCTTTCTTATGTGTATCTTCCTTGTCCCTTGATATGTCTACCTGATGGAAGACTTCTCCAGTGGGGCTGTTGCCTTCCTCCCACTTGTCCTGCCTTCCTCCTCCCGCCCTGGGTTTCTTGAATGGTGGACAGATGGGTGGACACACATAGGCCCCTGGGCCCCCAGCGCAGCTCAGGCCCATCCGGGCCTCTGCGCCCACAGGCTGTACTCACCCGGGAGGACAGTCCATTGGTGAGCCCACTGGTACTCCTCCTCACCACCCTTGATGGAGTTAGCGCTTCATCAGCGGGCGACTTTGTCCGAGGAGGCACAATGCCAACTGTAGGGAGACAGAACAGCCAGTAGGCCTTGTGGAGAGCAGGAGGGCAGAGAGTCCGGGAGCCTGCTTCTCTGAGGAGGCTCAGTCCCATCTGTGGCACAGATGAAAGGCCCAGGATGGGTGGGTACTCCCTCTCTTTGACTGTGAAGGAGCACCTCTCCGGGCTCCTCTCTGACCCTTGGCCTTCCTTCTAGGGGAGGATGGGACAGGAAGTACCTTTGTTGAGAGCTGCCTGCTTCTCTGCCTCCACCTCTTGCCTGGTGGGCACAAGGCTGTTGTCTCTAGCAGTATCCAGGGGTGATGTCTGGTGGGGGTCTTTCTTGCTCTGCTCATGGCTTGCCTTGGGCTGGGGGAAAAAAAGGAGAAGACGGTCCATGCTGTAGGGACTGCTGGGAACTTGGCCCTCAGGGATGTTTCTTTGCTTTGCAATGGTTGGAGCACAAACCCTTGAAAACACAGGACGAGGAGACTCTAAGTGTGTCAGCTGGGCAGTGGGCAGGGACGCCATGGAGCCTCCCACCCATGCCACCTTAAGGCTGGCCAATGCCAGCTCATCTTGTGAGGGCTCAGGGCTTCCAGGAGGCCCTCAGCCGAGGCCCAGCAGAGAGGCCCCTCAACCTGACCAGGCCTCTTGGTGAGCGCCAAGAAGCACAGACTTGCTGTGAGCCAGAGAGGAGGAAGGCTGGAGGAGGGGGGGGCTACAAGGCTGAGGATCTCTGAGGATTCTGTCAGGATCTCACCCAAAACTTGAGCCAGAGAACCAGGTGGGCTTTGGCACCAAGATTCTGGGGGACAGAAATGTGCACTTAGCTTGAGGGCTTGCAGAATCATGAGACTAGAAGGGGCCTCAGACAGCATCGGCAACCCCCCCAACTCCCGTGGTGCAGCCAAAGAGTCTAAGTCTTCATGAGGGACACACAGAAAGACTGAGCCAGAGGCCAGAAGCACCAGCTGGAGTCCAGTGAGAGAGCATGGGTAAGGCCCTTCGCCTCCCCTCGTCTGGAAAGCGGAGGTGACGCTGCCTCTCTGCCCCGCTCACCGGCAGCCCCTCAGGGTTGTGCTTATCCCAGCAGCTGAGCCGGGATGAAAAGATGACTCCCGATTTTAGACACAGGACTACTCACCATGCAACCTCTTCCCAGCCTAACTGTACCTCTCACCTGGCGAGAGAGGCTGGGGAGCCAGAACAGGGCAGCTTACACCCCAGGGCCGATGGGACCCAAGAGGACACACAAGGCAGAGAGACAGACAGCATGGAAGGACTGGGGTCTGAGGCGGGCAGGAAGGGACTGGAATGGCACCCGTCGCTGCGGGTCCCTCGATTTCCCTTGCCTGCTCGCGCTGGTAGGAGGTGGGGCACACCACCACTCACAGCCAGGGGCTGCCCAGGAGCCCGGGCATGGGGTGGGGCGACACTCATTTTCCCTCTGTCCACAGAGGGCAGAAAGGGGAAAGCATTCTCTGCCATCCCTTTCCTTATCCTAGAGTCTGACCAGGCAGCGGTGGGCAAATTAATATTGCAACGGGGGAAAAAGGGCTCCGTGTCCTGCCTGGTCCCCTCGCCTGACCCTTTGCCCCGCTCCCTCCGCCCCTGCCCTCCAGGACCCAAGGGTGCTGGGTACCTGACCCCTGGCTGGCTCGCCACTGCGGTGCCAGGAAGGGGAGCTGGGGTATGGCCAGAAGCGGCTCTCGCTAGGGAGTGGCGGCACGTTTGGAGGAGACTCCAGGGGGACGTAGGCTTTGGGGAGGGGGGGCCGCGGTGGGCCGGGCTCCTGAGGCAGAGAGAAGCCAGAGCATTAGGAGGAAGGAGACCAGCCACTGTGAGAGCAGAAGAAAAGAGCATTAGCAGGGGACAGACGACATCGTGGGGACCTGGGGTGGGCCCCTGGACCCCCAAACTCCCACCCGCAGCCTGGAGGGAGCTCCAGCTCTGGAGTGAACTCTCAGCCTAGCTTCAGGGCTCTCTTTGGCAGAGCCCCGACCTGTGCACCACTCCCCACTCTTCCCCAATTTTTCTCCACGGCTCTCTGCTCATTGGCCTCACCATCACCCTGGGCACATCTGCACTCCTGTGTCTTTGCTTCTGCCCCCTCTCCTGTCTGTGATGCTTCTTGTTCCTCTATCTGTCCCAATGAAAGTTCCACCTTCTCCTTGGAACACCAGGGCATTTACGGTCCACACTGAGACACACACTGCCAAGTTCCAGAGGCTGGCTGCTTTCTATAAATCGGTCTTGGTCCCCCCTGGACACTGGACTCCCCGGGAGAAGGGCCTTGGGCATGCGCATATATGTTTCTGAGAGGGCCTCACCCCATCCCTCACCCCGCGTAGAGCCCCAGTAAACACCTGCTGATTGACCAGCTAGGAAACTGCTCCCCATGCCTACCCTCAACCCTCTCACATGCTGGAACAGTCCTGGATTTAAATTCCTACTAAATGGGGGCGCCTGGGTGGCTCAGTCGTTGAGCGTCTGCCTTCGGCTCAGGTCATGATCCCAGGGTCCTGGGATCGAGCCCCGCATCGGGCTCCCTGCTCGGCAGGAGGCCTGCTTCTCCCTCTCCACTCCCCCTGCTTGTGTTCCCTCTCTCGCTGTATCTCTCTCTGTCAAATAAATAAAAATCTTTAAAAAAAAAAAAAATTCCTACTAAATGTTGGGTATCTTTGTTAACTGTCCTGGAGTTCAGGAAGAGACTTCCCCAGAAGGAGGCTAAAGATGACAAATGCCGATGAGAGCAAGCAAAGGAAAAATCTGGAAGGAAGTTCACCAGACTGGGTGTAAGAATGACCACCTTAGACAGAAAGCCAAAGCACTAGGCCTGGAGGCCTCTGGGGCAGAGATGGACACAGAGTCTGTGTCCTTCAGGCCAACGAGGACCTGGTCCTCCCTCCCTCCCCCACCTACCTTCTACTCCATTTTCTCAGCTTACCTCACTGGACCCGGGCTTGGTGGGGGACCCCTGCGAGCCGGACACCAGTGAGAAGGGGCTTAGGGGGCTGGTGAGGCTGGTGGAGCTGAGAGGGCTGGCGGGGCTGTTGGAGCTGTAGGTGGCCGTGGGGCCAAGTCCTCCTGGGGGCAAGCAGAGAGGAGAGATGAGGGATGGATGGGCTAGGGGTGGGCTCCGTAGGTGGAGGAGGCAGGGGAGGACTCAGGGACTTGGGAGGGAGGTTTCAGGGCCACCCGGGCCTGATGGAGGGACTTATTCCAGGGGTTGGGATGCAGGCTGGCCGTGGAGAAGCATGCTGGGCAGGGGTTAGATGATGGATGGTAAGAACACTGTTGCCTCTGAGACATTAAAGAAAGCCAGCCCAAAGTCCCAGGGCTTCAGATCACCACCCGGCCCACGGGCTTGGGTGGGGGCGGGGGTGGAGAGGCACAGGAGCTCTTTGACCCTTTCTGGGGAGGAATCTAGACTATCAGGGTCAACAACATCTCTGAGTGGCCTACCTGGTCTGTTCTGGGAGGAGGGGGAGGACAAAGGGAGCCCTACCCACCATCCTAGGGCAAGATCCCAGAGGCCTGAGAAGGCCCTGACTAGCTCTGCGCACAGTGTGAGGGCCTGGAGTGCGATGAGTATGACAGATGTGGGGTGGACGCCAGAGGCCCCAGAGCATTTCTGGTGAGCCTTTCAGGAGGCTGGTGGAGAAGGTACCCACCTCTGTGCTTGGCCGTGTCGGTGCCCCGGGATGGGTTATTCTTCCTCAGCCCCTCCAGCACGTCCTGGATCCTCCAGATCTCCTTCTGGATTTGCCGGTTGAGCACCTCATTCTGAAACCGCCCAAGAGCGGGTCAAGGGAAGTGGCTGTGAGGAGTGCCCCAGCCTCCCCCCCACGCCCGCATCCCTTCGGGCCAGCAGGAGGCAGGAGCCTTGCACGCGTGCACACGCTCACACGTCCCTTCCGCACATTCATCCTCCCCGTGGGAAGCCTCTTCCTCTTCAGCTTCTACGAAAGGGAACTTGGGAATTGCCAGAGGAGAGGGACCTGTCATCACAGTCAAGAGCCCCTTTAGGTGAACATGCAGCCTCAGCTTCCCCGGGGAGATCAGGCTGGTCTTGGAGCAAATGCCCCTCTAGGTGGACCCTTGATGGTAGCCTGTTGTCAAGGGCCAGGGTTTCCAATTGACTAATGTTCTTTCCATCCCAACGGTCCTTTTGTAATACCGACACCCAATGTCTGCCTAAGTATTCATGAATTATATTCAGTTAGAGTTCGCACTCTTTGAAAAATCATAGCTACCACTTCTTTAGCACCCCATGCCCCTCCACCCCACGTGCCAGGCACGGCGCTAGGGGCTCTGCAAACACTAACTCCTTTCAGCTGCTGGAGAACTCTGTGCGGCACCGGCCGCAGGTGTCCCGACTTTGGAGAGAAGAGACTTGTGCCCAAGACCCCCTGTTAGTAAGCAGTGTGACCGCCATCTGAGTCTGGGTTTATTTGTCTCAAGAGCTGGTGCCCTTGACCAGGATGCTTTCCTACCTCCTAAAATGTTCGTGTTGAAAGTCAGGCTTGCCCACAGGACATGCAAGCATTCAGGTGCTCTGGACCAGGAGGGCCTTCACCTCCGCCTCCCTAACCAGCTGCAGTGTGGGGTGGTGAGTTCCGTCACCCGAAGGAAACTAGGGGAAGTTGGGGGCACGAATTGCATCAGAGAGACAGAGTTCGCAAAGCTAGCTAGAGAAGAGGCAGAGCCCGGGTAGAGAAGCTCGAGGAAGGAAAAGAACAGGAACTCCCCAAGGTCAATACGTGCAGCTTCCTGCCTCCAAGCAGAGTGTTTCTAACCCGTCCTGGGAGCGAAGCCTCTTTCCTATCTTAAAGGGCCTGAGTGGCTGGCTCCCGCACAGCCTACTCCTTCGGAGGTCACCAGAGACAGCTGCACATATGCCCACATCTCTCCCCGCATGTGGATCTCTATCCACATCCAGATCTACATCTGTATCTGTATCGACGTGTTAAAGCCTTCCAGTCATAAAGTATCTTCTGTCTAACCTAGCGCACTTGTGTTTCTGCTTTACTCCTCCCTCACGATCTGCTGGAACTAAAGAAGATCCCACATGGTCTTCATCCCGAAAGCATCTGTTTTAAGTGGATGTGAACCTTGTCTTTTGTCTCAGGATCAACTCCCTGTCTCAAGTCTCTGAGATCTCGAAAGCAAGAAAGGAAGCCACTTTGGTCTGTTTTGGCCCAAAGGAGAAGGGGGGGCACACTGACCCCCTCCTGCCCAGGCCCCTCTTCACCTGGACGTCCAAATTGAGCTGCTCCCAGAGGTCATCGTGCAGGGCAGACACCTCTGACTCAAGGCTCTCATACTCTATGGTGCTGTTCGTCAGGGCCTGCAATGGAGGGGGGGGGGTGGTGTTTTACTGAGAAAGTGGCCATTGCCAAAGCCTTCCTCCCCAGCCCCCCCACAGGGCCCGGGGCAAGGGCAGCTGAGGTCTGGCAGGGCTCAGAGGAGAGCACAGAGGGACCGGAGGAGAGGGCCCAGGGCTGAGACATTCTGATGACAGCCCAACAGTGGCCCATCCGACTGCAGGCCGGAAAATAGAGAAACCAGAATCCTCTCCAGGTGTTGGGGGTATGCCAAAAGGGGATCATACCATGCCCACCCCCTCCTGGTGTCCTCAGACTGGGTAACCCAAAGTGGAGGGCAAAAAGAGAGGAAACCCAGAGGTGTCCGCTCCCTGGGGGTTAGAGACCTTCCACCCTTCTGGGCCATGTTTTCCGGGCCCTTTTGCTGCGGCACCCCAGAACTCCTGTCCAGGCAGTCGGTCCTGCAGGGTCTGCCCTGTGCCCATGGCAAATGACCAGGCCAGCAGCCCTGCGCGGGGGTCCCGGTTCTCCAGGGGAGAGGACAGAGGGAGGCAGCAAAGCTGTGAAAGCAGCCGACGAGATCAGGAGCCCTCGACCTCACCCTGCCCTGAACGAATCCCAGGGCAGGAACAGTTTGTGGAAAAAGAAGCCCGTTTCCTTGCAGGAGACTCTATGGAGTGAGTGGGCCGGCATGCTCGCTGCCTATCAGCAAGGCACCACTTTTTTTTTTTTTTAAGTTTTTATTTATTTGAGAGAGAATGAGTGAGAGAGAGAGAGCACGAGAGGGGGGAGAGTCAGAGAGAGAAACAGATGCCCCGCTGAGCGGGGACCCCGACACGGAGCTCGATCCCAGGACCCCGGGATCATGACCTGAGCAGAAGGCAGATGCTTAACCAACTGAGCCACCCAGGCGCCCCAGCAAGGCACTATTAAGGTCTTTCGTTTCTGCCCCTTCTGGCCAAGGGCAGGCTCTTGGCCACCGAGGAGAGTCGGGAAGGAGCGAGCACAGCCTGGGAGGGGAGGCCCTCCTGTGCTGGTGCTGATGTGTGGACCGGGGATGCGGGGAGAGCAGTACCGTGGTCGCCTGCGACAGCTCCACGCGGATATTGATGAGCTGGTTCTGTAGGGACTCTTTCTTGTGCAGCAGCTTCTCCGGGTAGGCAGGCTGGTTTCCAAACATCTCCAGCTCCTGGTGGGTCCCCATCAAGGCACTTTCCAGGCTCTCCTGAAAGAAGGCAGGGGAATGGCCGTCAGCAGCCCTGATGATTCCTCTCTGGGACTCTAAGCAGCAGGGGCCCGAGCCCCAGCAGTTCCAGTTAAGGGCAGGACAGAAGTTTAAGACAAGGCTTTGGCAGCTTAGCAGGGAGACAGCACCCCGCACCTGTCCGAGCCAGCCTCCCCACATGCCCCCAACTCCAGGCCACCCCCCGGCTCTCACCTTCTCAGCTCGGAGCTGCTGTACCAGCCGGTCCTGCTCCCTCACCACCTTGTTCTGCTCACACAATTTGCCCAGCAGCTTCTGGGGGCCCGAGGGGGTAGGGGGAAGGGAGGGAGAGAGAAGGGGGTGAAGGACATGGTTTGATGGGGACCTGGGAAATGGGTCGGAAGGGCCTGGCCTCTGGATACTGCCTCCTTTCCCCTGCAGAGGAACCCTAAGCCTTCTTCACCTTGACCTTGGAGGCTCCTGGGAACAGGAAATGGTCTTCACCTCAGGGGACTCCCCAAGGACCTACTGGGAGGGGAGATGTGCTTATTCTCTGACGAAGTGAGTCAGCTGTAGAGGGGAGTTCAATGTTAAGCTCCTGCATCCCCCTCCTCCTGGGGGTTCCAATTCCAGAAGGGTTGAGGTGATAATGTGGCCTGGCCTCCCAGGCCTCCCAGGGGGGCATGGACTGGGGGAGTACGCAGGGTGCCTGAACCAGCAGTCTTAGGAAAACCAGTGAACCATGTAAACTGGTTCCCCAGGCTCACAGGACTCTGTTCTCCCCTCCTCCCAGGGTCTCAGGATGGCTGACGCTGGGATCCTCCTGAGGTCTGGCCCTTGCCTGGATGGAAACTCTCCCAGGCCTACTGGGCAGATCCACTACCCAGGCAAGACCAGTGATGATGGGGAGCAGGCAGGGTAGGCCACGCTTCTCTTCTGGAAAGACTTAGCCTTTCCAATATCCACACCTTTATTCATGCCATTCCTCAAATACCCCCTTGACTCTTTTCTACTGGCCACATCTTGTCTTCTGGGCCTTTCAACTTCCAGGCCCAGCTCACCTGTTACCTGCTTTGTCCCTGACCCACTGGCCCACATGGTCTCACTGCCCTGCCCTCCTGCAGAACCCACTGTCCATCCCATTTGGCGCAGGAATCATATGCTGTCACCCGCTGCTACCTGGCATCTCCCACTACCCTGGAGCTCCCTGAGGCCAGGGGCAGGGCCATGTGCTTCTCTCTAGTGGCCTAGGGGCGACTGCTAACGTGGGCACAGCGTAGCCTGGCCGATGCACCTCCTAACGAAGTCCGTGTTCCTGTAATGAGCAGATCCCACTGCTGGAGACAAGAGGGCCTAGGGCTCCATGGAGAAACACACACGGCCAGCACGGGGCAGTGCGGGGGGGGAAGGGGGAAGAACGAGAAAAGAAGGGGGATGAGGAAGGGGCAGGCAGAATATTGTCTTTGTGCTGAGAGAGGACATGGGTCAAAGGCATGAAGAGCCACCAGAAGGGACAGAGATGAACGGAGGAAAAGCCCCAGCGGAGGAGAGCGAAGATGAGGACGACAACGGGAGGGACTGGAGAGGACAGGGGAGCAGGAGAGCTGCTCTTACATCTGTGTCTTGCTCGTTTAACTTGTAGGTGTGGAGACCGTCCCGGAACACTTCTGGGTACGGAGGGACCTGCAGGAACACGAGGCTGGTTACAGCAGCAGGGGACAGGTAGGGTGCGTGGGGACGGGAAAGCAGACAGCCCTTGCTCCGTTCTTGTCAGGGACCATGGTCCATCAGCTCTGGTAGCTTCCATTCCGGGAACCCGAGCTAATTCTTTGTCTCTGGCTGGGAAGCCTGGCGTAGCCCCATCTAGGTTCTTCCCTATTGTTTAGGCTGACTTCTGGAGACAGTGATGTTGCTCAGCTCTGACTCGGGATCTCCTCTCTCCCCGCCAACCTCTAGATCTCCTGTGGAGAGGGACTCCGGAGATGTAGAGATCCCGGATGGCTTATTGGGAACAACCCTGAGAACAGCAGTTAACCCATGGCTGTTTCTGAGGATGAGACATGGGAAAATGGAATGAGCCCCGAAAACATCTGAGAATGATTATCTTGGTAGATTGCACACCAGTCACGGGGCGGGGCTGCGGGGCGTGTGCTTAACCAGGAGTACGTCTGGGTCCGGCAAATGCTGCCCAGCCTTGGTGATACATCCGGTGACCACAGCATATTCTACACCACTGGGGCATCGGATGGTTCCATATCACACCCCTTGTGCCCTGAACCCCGAAGATGTTTGTGAAGAAGATACCCAACATGAAACAGAAGTCCTGGACTTGAGAAAGCAGATTTGCGATCGCTGGCATGGTATGGGAGTCGGTGCTGGTTATATTGATGGTTTGAGAAATGGGCTTTGGATTCACCCATGAACATGAAGAATGGAGGAGACACAGTGGAATTAGAGGAGCGGGACGAGGCGGGGCCCAGCAGATGAGGCCTGGCGGATGAGTGGGTAGGGCAGAGCAAACCCCAGCCCAAATGGCTTGACTAGACCATGCACAAGCAGCTGAGATGGTGCTGATGGGGACCATGCTGCCAGGCGGAGGTCTTACTTGCATGAAGATCTGGGCCCTGGGGGAGGAGCTCTCCACCATGCGGTTCACCATACTGATGAGAGTCTCGCTCTCACTCATCTGCAGCAGAGGAAGGAACGGACGATTCAAACTCAGACCCCCATGGAGCTATCTCCCCATCTCCCTCCTGGGCTCACTTCCCCGGAAACAGGAAAGGGCAGCTCGTCCTGGGGTCTCCAGCTCCCTCTGCTCGCCTTTACCTGTCGCTCACCCCTTGTGAGCTCCGTCCCAGGACCAGCACTGAAGATCCCCCGAGGAAAGGTCACATAAGGGAGGCTGGGGGCTGCTGTGCCCTTGCTCGCTGGCCCTGAAGAGACCCCTTGCCCAGTGACACTCTCCCCAGGGTGCCTGAGAGGTGCGGCAGGTCTCATCCTCACTGGCCAAGGTCAACTCCCTGCCCCACCTCTTTTCCTCACACTGCTTTGGTCAAAGACCACACCGGCAGGTAGGAAAGTGCCTCTCCCCAAATTTGAACTAACTCAAACAGCTGAGAAAGAAACCATGGGGCTGCTCTTTGGATGGGCCTTCGCAAGGAGGCACAGCTCTCTCTCCCCGACCCCGGCCCACCTCTTGGCTCTAGCTAGAGTAGAAAGGATTGCTAAACACGGTTTCCAGAGCTGGGCTGGTATAGCAACCATGCCGATCTTGGATGACGCTAGGGAGCCAATAAGGAGGCCCAAACAAGCAAGCCGCGTTAAAGGGACAGCAGATACTCGAACACTGTCCTCCGACGTGTAATCTTTGTGTCTCAAGAATCATTAGGAACACGGAGGGGGAAAGAGAGAGATGAAGAAGGGCAGGGGAGAGGGTGGAGAGGGGCTGAGGGAGGGAGGGAAGACAAGCCAGGCAAATCAACTAGAGACGCCATCATTTCCGCCCCCTGGTTCCAGTTTAACGGCATCAAAGAGTGAAAACATTAGGGCGTGTCCTTGGCTATGTCCCTTTAACTCATGACCTACAGGACAAGGTAGCAGAAGACAGAGGGAAGTCGTGTGGGAAAAGCTTTTTGGGGAGAGGAGGTGAGTGCGGGAAGGGACAGAGCCACGTTAGGGCAGAGTTTCTGGGGTCACAGTTCAGGAGGCCCTCACATTTTTGGCTCTTACCTCCCCCAGCTTCATTGGGCCCACATGTATTTTCCCTCTTACCCGTTTAGGTGGCAACCCAAAGGCGGCCTTGCTTCTGTGTGCTGGGGACAGGGCGAGTGGCACCCAGCCATCTCCATCTGCAGGGTCCATAGCATTTTGAAAGGCTTTCCTAGGATCTGATCTCTCTACCTCTTTAGCCCATTTGGAATTTTTTTTCAATGGCATCAAGTGTCATTTAAAAGGCTTTCCAAAGAGCAGTGGTAGTAGGAGGTTGAGGCTTCATAAAATAGTTCACAGTCAACAGGACATCAGCCCCATTTCCTGGAAGGATCTGAACTCAAGTCAGTCCCTATCTTCTGGGAATCCTGTGTGTATGAGGTCATGTTTATGGTGCTCAGGGTGTGCATGGGTGGTGTGTGTGTGATTGTATATGGTGTGTGTATACGTGTGTGTGTCTGCTGCCTGTGAGCCATGCCTGCGTCCTCTGTGTGTGTGTGTTTAGGACCTGCTAACACACCAGGCACTGAGAGGGCAAAGAGGCCCAGGTTTTGCCTGGACACGCACTGATCTCACTGCTCGCCCAACCGGTGGATCTCAAGCACTAAAGAAGGGAAGCCAGAATGTTCTCACCCTGGTCTGCTCCCATTCACACTGTGGCTTTGGGGATCTTCTGGCCCACGTGGGCTTTGCCTCTAGGATTCCTCTATGTCACCTTCTGTCTGTCCAAAATGTCAAATTTTGTGAGAAAGCACCTAGCACAGTGCCTTGTACATCATAAAGTGCTCAGTTAATATTTTAAATTGAATGTCAGAAGGAAAAGAATTAAATAATCATCGCAGCAGTTAGCGCTCCTCACCGCCGCCTGACCCAGTGCTGACACGCACGCTCTTACTTGATCCTCCAGCAAATCTGGGAGGTGGGAAAGGCAGGTTCTACAATGTCCATTTTATGAGTGAGAAAACAAAGGCCCAGAGAGATGAAGCAACATTTTGAAGTTAAAAAAAAAAAACCCACAACAAAAACCCATTGTAAATGGCAGAGCTGGACTAGAATGTCTGACTCCACGTTCTGGACCCCCCTTTTTTTTTTAAAGTAGGCTCCATGCCTGGCATGGAGCCCAACATGGGGCTTGAACTCACGACCTGGAGATCAAGACCTGAGCTGAAATCAAGAGTCGGACGCTTAACTGACTGAGCTGCCCAGGCGCCCCTAGACTCTTATCAGATAAAACGCCCTTTTAAGATTATTATCCTTTATCTAGAGGAGGTCCTCTGAAGGGTTATTTCTGAAGCTCCCAGCCTAAGGGCCCAGCCTGTCCATGAGGGCAGAAGCCCCAGGAGGGGCCCCGCAGTGGCACTGAAGGCTGGCACAGCCAGGCACTGTAAATGGGCTGCAGAGAGGAAAGCCTGCCCAGGAGCCCCGAGGCCACTCAGCCCTGCTCCTCGCTGCTCCGGGCACTGCAGACCCTGCTTCCTGCAGGCGAGAGCCCGCACTTCCCACTGCCGGTCTGGATTGGCATCCTGAGCCTCGTCTCCATGTGGGCTGGAATACTCGTGGTGTGGACACCACATGCTGCTTCTGGAACTAAAATGCAAGGTTCGTGAGGGCTGGGAGCTGTCCCTGCTGATTAAAGTGTGGATATCAGGGCTTCCCAGTGCCCAAGGCCTACTATGAGGATGATCCCACCGAGGCCCGGAGGCCCATGAGACGACAGGTTATGTGGCAAATGACTTGTGTCTAGAACCACCAACTGTTTCAGCAACAGCCTCTGATTTCAAGTTTAATGTTCCTTCTGCAACTTTAAGAGCATAAAATCATCCTGATGAGGTTTGACTCCTGCTTCTTCGTATATTAGACATCTCCTCAGCCATAAACTGGATCAAAAGCTCAGAGTCACATTCCAAGCTCCACCATTTGCTGGCTGTGCGTCCTTGGCATGTTACTTAACCTCTCTGTTTCTTTAGTTTTATCAGTTCTAAAGGGGGATAACAACAGTACCCACCCTGCAGTGTTGTTACAAAGATTAAATGCCTTAGGATCTGTAAGGAACTCAGAACAGCATGAGGCACAGAGAAAGCACCCAGTTATGGTGGCGGCCGCTATTCCTACTACTATTACCACGACTCCTACTATAATGACTTCACCCGAGACCTCGGGCCGCTCCACCGGGCCACACTGGGGATGCCCAGGTCCCCTGTGATTTGTAGCGCAGATCTGGACTTAGGTAAGAGTATGCGCTCATATCAAGGCCCAGCATCCTGACCCTCAAGCGTGTCTCAACACCCCTCAGGTTCAAAAGGCAAGGTAGCCAATGATTAGAGCCTGGAACTGGGTCTCTGCAGCTAATCACTTCCATCTACGGGAACACTCACGGATTCTTCCAGATGAAACGAGGTTGCTAACACCCTGTCTGCCATGCGGAATTCTTGAGGAGAACACGAGCCCCGTGTGCAAAAGAACTTGGCAGAGGAACTAACAAATATATGGAACTAATATAATTTTAAAAAACCATCCTAGGGCAAGTCTGTAGTCCTCAGTTTACAAACTGTGGAGTTTAACAACAACCTGTGAACTAGGATAGATAGTTTCCCAGATTCAGGCCGCAGAGAGTCCCTTGCATTTTTAGGCTGAGCCTGGCTGCTCACCCCCTCCCCCTTCCACCGCCCCTGCCGCGCTCTCCAGCAGAAATGCAAATTCCCGCCTGCCCACCACCGCCCCCCCCCAGTTCCATCTGGCCTGAACAAATAGGAGGTGGCATTAATTATTCATGTGGTCATTTCTTATTCTCCTGTCCCCAGGAAACTCCCAGCTGCCCTAAAGGGCTCTGAGGAGAAGGGGTGTGAATGCGCAAACCAAAATATAAGCCACTTTGTTGTGTCCTGGTGGTGTCAACAAAGGTTGTCAAATGGATGGGCGAGAAGGAGGTGGGGAGGAGCAGGGAGACAGACGGGGGGCGGGGCAGGGGAATGGCGAGGGGGCACCAGCTCTGCCTACCTGCTGATCCAAATACTCTAGGTTTCTTTGCAACTGAAGGTCTAAAAGTTCATCCTACCCGGAGCCCAACGGCAACACAAACAGGAACAAGACAACAGAAAACAATAAAAAGGAAGCAAAGCAGTTAAGAGTTAGCTGGGGGGCAAGGTCAAAGAGAGGCCTCTGTCGGCCCTTGAAGAGTTCTAGGGAAGGGCAGGGATGAGACTGAGGGCAGGCACCAAGTTGTCTACCGGATACCGGATACCGAGCGAGAGGAAGGACTCGTTGGGGCCCCAGCTCCAGGGCTCCTGGTCCGCCTGGCCCTCCCCTGGGAGAGGGAAGAACCCTGAAACAATCTAGTCGGCCCTCCCTAGCACTCCTGAGTTTTCAGGAAGAATCCATTGTTCCTAGATGGGTGCTGAGCTGTGTGTCAGGGCTAGAGCTTGGACAGAGAAGGATCAAGGGGAAGGAGGGGAGGGGCACCCTCCATGCCTGTAGAGGCTCCTCCACCCTGGCCTCCCAGGGCTATGCAGGGAAGGCGTCAGCAACAGGCTTTTGGGGACGAGGACTCGGCCTGTTGGTTCCAGTGTACCCGCCCCCATCCCAGGTGGAGCATCTGCATCCAGTTCTGGGCGGGAGGGAGACAAAAATTCTCTGGAGAACAAATTCCCAGGAGAGACAAGTAGAAAGCAGGGAGAAAAGAAGGAAAAGGCGTAATATGGAAAATATTTTCTTCCTTAATCTCACTACTTGTCTCTTTCCCCAAAAGTAGCACTCCAAAAAAAAAAAAAAAAAAAAAGTAGCACTCCAGGCAAGGACAGACTTGGAGAAAATGCCTGTTATCGGACACTCATTGGGCCCTGGATGGGGGCCCCTCTGCATGCTGGGCAGGAGGTTGTTGCAGGGTCGAGAGAATCAGGACATCACACGCCTCCAGATCTTGTCCCTGCTCCTCTACCTTGTGTCCCAGAGATGGGGTAACTGGCATCACACTCTGCACTGGGATCAGAGTCGTGGCCGGGAGGGAGGAGTATCCAGAGGCTGCTAAAAACCAGGAGGGCCAGGCACCAGGCACAGAGCATCCCTGTGGCTGCCCTAGTTTGGCCCCGCCCTGGAAGGAGAGGTTCTGTGGGGAGTGGATGGGAGGAGAGGACGTACCATCTTATCGTGGACCGTGGGGGATGGTGGGTAGTTGTAGGGGAACAGTCCTGCAGGGACTGGCCGCCTGTCTCCCAGGTAATCATACTGGAAGAGAAAGGGAATTGGAGAGGTGAGGGGTTCCGGCTGGGACACAGACTTCCCCACCAACTGAAGCTCAAGGTTAGGTATGTTTGTGTCCTGTCCCAGAGCAGATGCCGAATGAAAATGGACAGCATTTATTCACTGCAGTATCCTTGCATTGACCTGTCTTGTCCTCAAGATGTGAAAAGATAGAACCCTCTCTGCCCTCAAACACAGGATTAGGGTTCCTGGCATGACCTGGGGATGGGCACCAACAGCAATGTTCCTACTCAGGGGTCAAAGCAAATGCCCCAAAGCAGCTCTCCCACGGACAGACCCGCAGGGCCAGAAGCTCCCCCGGGCATCATCGTGGCTCCTGCCAACACACAGTGTGTGTCCCTGGGGGACACAGTGACCCCCGAGTCCCAGATGCCCCCCCCACCTCCACCTCTCCTCTGCAGATGGTGGTAGGCTTCTTGGGGGGTCTCAGGGCATGAGGAAGGAAGGGCAGGCTGGTGGCTCACCTTGGGGGAGCTGATGGACCGCCTCACCACATAGGCAGCAGGGTCAGCATAGATGTCCTCGCTGCGAGGTGGCAGGCGCTCAAAGCGGGCACTGGGTGAGCGGACGGGGGAGTAAATGCGGGCACGGCTGTAGGAGCCCTGGCTGGGCGAGCGCGGCACAGAGTGGGAGCGGGGCTGCAAGGACAGGCGGCGCAGGGAGCTGGAGGTGGCATCCAGCTCATCGTAATAGACTGGCTGCCGGGAGGGGGAGGGGCCGGGGAGCCAGACGGTGCCATCCTGCCGCCCGTAGCCCGGGGGCTCCTTCCACTCCCGCAGCTGGAAGGCAGGGCCGCCTCCATTGCGGAACGAGTGGCGCTTGTCCTCCAGCGCCCAGGGTGGGCTGATCCGATCGTAGGCTGGCATCGAGCAGATGCTGTCCGGCCGCACCCCTGGTGGGTAGTAGTGGTAATCATCGGGGTACTGGGAGGAGTAGGGGCTGTAATACTCAGGGACCCTGCGGGACACGGGGTAGAACCTAGAGGGACTGAGAGAGAGAGAGGACATTGTAAGGAAGCCAGACAAAATGAGCGCAACCCCACCCACCCCACCGCTGTGCCCCAGCCCCGCCTCCAGGTCCACCAGCCTAGAGCAGGGTGTGCCCAGGTGAACGGTGCCCCAGGCTGACTGTGGGAGCCCACGGAGGCAGCCACTGCCTGGGTGCTGAGCCTTGCTTCCGGGGGTGCAGGGAAAGCTCCCCCATAGCTTCCTCCCTCAACCAGCCACCCGAGGCTGGAAATTTCACATTCAGAGCTTCCATCTTTGTCTTTTTAAAATGAAGTAGCCCTGGGGAGAAACTTTAAGCCTTATTAGCTATTTCTATCCCACCACGAACCCATGTATCAGATCCTTTCCAGAGAGGTGAACGGCAGAAAGAGCAGAAAGAACGTGAGCGTACTGGGCACTGGGGAGGGTGACAGAAGAGGGACAAAAGAGCAGTTTCCCTGGTTTGATGTTCTCATCAAGGACGGGACCAGTAGGTTCCTGGGACTCATCCCAAGTGAGGCGCTCGCCCTGGGGCACGCCAGACGTCCCAGGCACCAGGGCGGCAGTGGTGAGCATGTGAGCAGCCTTCCTGTGGCAGGAACCTGCGCTCCGGGGAGCTGCCCACCCCCGCAGGGAAGGGGCCGTAGCCCCACTTGCTCTGATGCATGCTCCGGGCCCAAAAAATGTCTTCCGGTGTTTGAAAGTCAATCACTGGACAAAGGAGTAAATTGGTCTAGTTACGGCAACATTCTGTTTCTTTTCCTTTTCTTAAGCTGCATATAAAGACTTGCAAACAATTGGAGCCGTTCAAAACTGGGGTGAGTTGGCTTGGTGGCCAGTGAGGCTCGTGGTGGCAGAGACACCGGATGGCACCGAGGGTGCTGTAAGAGAGCCAGACGCACGGATGGCTCTCTGACTGGCACAACTCGAAGGCCCCTCCCTCCGAGGGCCTGCACGCCTCCTGGGCACCCCGCATCCTCGCCGAGAGGCGCTGGGTGCTCTGGGCTTGTCTCTGAAGAAAGTAGACGGGGCAGGAGCCGGGCAGGGGTCACACTCCACGGCTGGAGCCGCGGGGCAGTACAGGATTTGGACAAGCTGGGAACCCTGGGCCGGAGGGTCTTCCTGGTGTCCCAACTCAGCCTGGCTTCCCGAAGATTTCCGGCAGGGGATGCTACACGTGTTACGCGCCCCCCTCCCCAGGCCCAGCCCTAACACCACCCCAGCTCCACGCCGGCGCCCCACCAGGACTCACCTGCGAAGGTCGTCGGGTGGGGGCACCCCTCGGCGCAGGTTCACCCACTGCTGAAGCTGGTTCATGGAGCTCTTGCGCTGGGCAATTTTGTCGGGGTCGGCACGCGGGGGGAAGCTCCGCTGGTGTCCCCCACTCTCTGAGTCCTGAGGCGGGAAAGCTGTGCTCCCTGGTCGGCTCGGGGAGCTATACTGCCAGCCGTTGGGCTGGGCGGGCCGATCCCCTCCCCCTGGGACCCTCGGGCCCTCGGGGTAAGGGCTGCCAGGCTCTGAGGCTGGTTCCGGTCCGGTTTGGACGCCATTGGCTTTCACCAGAGGCTCGCTCTTGACTTCGGGCCTCTCGGGTTTCCTCTCGGCCTTCTCGCAGCCCCGGCCGTCACCCTCCCCTCGAGTCTTGGCCTCGGGCTCAGGCCTGGGGAGGCTGTTGTGGGATGGCTGGTGGTGGTGTTTACTAGGTGGGATGTTCTCGGAGCCTGGCTTCTCGTGGCTGCTGGACACCAAGGGAGATGCTGTAAGTGACCCCAGCCCAGCGTGGAGCTGGGCAGGGGGTGGTAGACTGGGAAGGAAAAAGGAGTGGAGAACGGTGGGCAGGAAGGTAGCAATGGAAATGGGAGTCAGTGAATTGCAATTTTGTTTCCTAAATTCCCCCCCTTTTCTTAAAGATTTTATTTATTTGACAGAGAGAGACACAGCGACAGAGGGAACACAAGCAGGGGGAGCGGGAGAGGGAGAAGCAAGCTCCCCACCAAGCAGGGTGCCCGATGCAGGGCTCGATCCCAGGACCCCAGGATCATGACCTGAGCCGAAGGCCGATGCTCAACGACTGAGC